TTCCTGCTATTAGCTTCTCCGGGAGGTCTAACTCGGATGTGGAGCAAGAGCAAAACAGCAAATACCAAAATGAACAGTGCATGTAATGAAGTAAAATGAAAACAGAAGGGCTCCTGTACATAAAAGACTCCAAAGCGTTACCAGCAGTAGCTACTCTGTAATGTTCTTGTCGTAGAGCTAGACGCTTATTTGAGTAAAATCCCTATTTCGGCAGCAGCAGGCTGTGCATGTAACACGGAGGAATAATGCGCGCAGCCTGCTGGCTCAGGTTCTTTCTATAGGATAGAAGCAAAGCTTCCTGCCCTCGGAGAAAAATCAGCAATTATGTAAGATAACTAATTACTGAAAAGCACTTGAATATTCAAGCGAGGAGGATTATTTGGAGTTAGAAAAGGGTCTGGTATTGCCTCGATGTATAAACATGGTCCAACACAAAGCAGGACTCTGAGAATCTCAGGAATTACAGGCACACCATTACTTGTAATATAAAATTACTGGGGAAAAATACATACAAGCAAAACCAGAATCACAAAGACAACACAGCAAGTGGAGCAAAACCTTATATATGCACCTGTCTCTCCCTTTTTTTCAGATTTGCAACCTCTTTGTGGTTATTAACAATGTTATCTAACGTAGAGACAAAATCCTGTTTAACCTCCTTCCAGAAAAGGACATGGACCAGAAAATAACTTTTAAGAATTCAGTGTTCAACTAAACGAAGGCAAGAAAAACTCTTTAAATGTAAGAGGCTTATCTAGAAAGCAAAATGGTTAGGATGCACCATTCAGAAAAAGAACAGTCCACTGCTGAGTCCTCAACTATTGATCTGCTAAGAAGGAAAAAGCAGGTATAAGGCAGCCCGTTCCTCTAAGGCATCTGATCTAGGATGGGGAAACACACATGGCTCCCTCGGAGCTGATGGTTCCCATCTCATTTTGTCTACTTGACAGAGCTGCTGTTCTTTTTTGGTCTTGCCTTGGACAATATACACGGTGGCACCAGATATAGTTTTGCCTGTCTGAAATCAAAGGACACCAATATTAGCTGCAAAGCAGTGCGGGGATTTAAAGAAAAGAAACCACAGAAAGACTAAATTCAGACACTGTTCCTCATTCTAAAACAGCAGCACTGGAGCCACCTTGGGCAAAGGTAACACTGAAAACAACTGTAAAAGCATCAGCGTCATCTGACCAGAAGAGTCAATCTGCAGCAAAGGTATTATGAAGCAGCAACAAATGCTAAAAAAAAAAAATAAAAAGGTGAATAAAGCTGTCAGTAGCATCAGTACTTTACCTGGCTCTCAGTGAGAGGTCCAGCATTGACAGTCTGTCACTAGTTTTAAGAGGTGACAAATACAACAGAAATAAAGAGCAACCTTGGTTGCCAGGCTTATCTTCAACGTTAAGTTTTACTGACTCCTTATCTTCAACATAAATTTTACTGACTTGCTTCAGGGCACTACCTACGTACATCTGACAAGCAAATGATGGTGCCCACGGAAAGTTTAAGAACACAATGGATTGCCCCCTCCTATTGTAATGGGACTGATCTCTGCCCCATCTTCCCATGCTGCCTTTCATGCTATATCACATAATGCAGCATCCCTACAGCACACTGCTCGTCTTTGTGCATCATTTGCAACAATTTCTCCCTGATACTGTAATATTCTAAAACTATTAAGGTTCCTCTCCCAAGTTACCCATGGAGACAACAGTCCATAACAACTTTCTTTTGAGCAAAATCATTTAAAAATATAAGCAAAAGGTGATTTATAACAAGTTACCCCAGAGTCACCTTCTTTGATTGTCACCAAAGTCAGCATAAATAGATGCATCAGTGAATAAGATTCACAGAAAGCCCTTGTCCAGCCAGGCTGATGCAGACCCTCCTCAGGGCTCCTTGCCTGCCAGGCACGTGAGGGTTCAGACAAACACTGGTGCTACAGAAACTCTTTGCCTGCTCTGAGGAAAAAAACAATACTCATCTCCCAAATAAAAAATTAGTTAAAAAGACTGTATTAATTAAAAAAAGTATAACACAAAACATCTTTCCCCTACAGGGCCCAAGCACAGCTCCTGACTTTAAAAGGGGCCATAAATC